ACCTTAATATATCAGCTTGCTAATGCGCCCAGGTCTAAATTCTTGGTACTTTCAGACGATGTAAAATCTAGCGCCATATAAAGAGTGTGGGCGAGCACAAAGCACAGAACAGGAATCTCGTATAGGCCTATGCATGATCACCCGGAAACCCCCTCCATTTCAACGTGACGATAGGCAAAGCTCTGAGCACACATCAGCTTACGCATGAATACAGACCAACAGATGCAACGTGCTTCCAAAGATAGTGACATCAGGGTAGTCGTGTAGGATGAACATGGTTGCACGAAACAGGATCAAGTGACATCTTTAACAGCCGGTCAGCACGTCGGTCTACAACAGAGGGTTTCCGGAAATTTTGAACCATCAATCGTTCCGGAAAAATTATGCCCGCAAACGAGGTCCCACGTTGAGTACGCGATCCAAGGCTGACGTCTGTAGCACACTCGTGGCTTTGTGGCACTTGAAGCTTCCCAACACTGAGATGGTACAGTGGCGAATTGCAAGGTCAGTGAGGAGAAATCACCATAGTTTACTTAATGCTGAGGTAGTTAAATCACGCCTGTGACGAACTGTTACAACTGTACCACAACGCCAAACTGTGAAGCCACCAGATCAAACTTGTCACGCACTACAGTTGACTTACTTGCCGAAAAGAGGTTTTCTCCGTGTGCCCGAAGATATACTACTCTTCCGACCCACATCATCCATTTTCTCCACTAACGCTTTTTAACAAACGACTTGACGACACCGTTTCCCTCTTGTACTACTTGATATAATCCTTTTAACCTGGAGGAAGAAATCATTCCTACCAGATTACGTGCTCAGCAGCCCACTCCGCAACGATTTGGAAATCGGTATAAGTGTTCAAGTGAATAGCTAGGTTGTACCCAAAACGGATTTACGTCACCTGAGTCCAAGGAAGCAGCACATGAGCGAGCGTTTTCTTTTCCTTTTTCTAACTTTGCCCACGGTATACGTGAGCTATCACTGTTCCCCACAATCATGTGTGTGCGCATTCAACTCCCATTTTAAACTATCGTTACGCAGCAGTGCAGTTATATCAGTACACGCTTAAACTGATTCTTCACTTATCCTCTGCGTTTTCCGGTATTTACTCCGATCAAGCTACGAGACTTTTATAAGCACCTACTTCTTTACCGGTAGTAATCCATTGCCTCATTAGCATGGGATGCATTATGTATGATAGTGTGATTCAGCAACCACGGGGAATTTACTAGCCTATGCACAAAGGGTTGCATTAATCATGGTTAAACTGTAGTTTCATGGTATGCCAAAGTTATGTTTACTAATTCCATTTCCTGTTGCACAGATAATGGTGACACTATTTGCCCAAATCTCTGTTCTACATGCATCAGCCGTCTGTCCGCCGAAAAAATTAAAGTTTCAACTGGCATGGAATAAAAACACAAACAGCTGCAGAACATCCTGCTAACTATGTTCAAAAGACCGGAAAGCACGATTTAGAGCAGCAGCCGTCCATTCTTGAAACATTTTCTTTGGATAATGTTGTGGCACTATCGCTCACCAGGATACCTCTCTCACCAAATTATAGAGGATGCGGTCCTAGAATCCTAAAACTTGCGGTTCAGTCAGAGCAACAAGCAAAGGATGTTTTGGATCGATGGCGAAAAAATCTGAAATATCTTCCTTCCGAAATTCGGTTAAAGGTCGCAAACGCTTTGCATAGCACAAATATTAAGGCAACTGAAGCAGCAAGCATACTGACGAATGTACAGAAACGTAAATTGACTGCTGCTTTAATTGACCCTGACGCAGGTCTAAGCAAAGGTTGGGATGCACCTTGGCCGAGTCAAGTTGCATAGGAGGTATCAATGTTTCATTAAAAAAACGAATAACTACCGACTTCCCATCGGTCGGCATTCTCCCACACGTGACCGCTTCACTCTTCTGTGGGCTCCTGGAGACCGAGAAACTGGCCTGCTTGTATACGAATGCTCAGGGTTTTTCTAACAGACTGGCTAAACTGAAAGATCGCCAAGCTTCCGGATCGTATGATGTCATTGGTATCATCGATAGATGGTTACATAACAGAATGACGGACGCTGAATTTTCGCAACTCGGCATGTCGCTGATCCGGAACGGCAGCCTCATTGAAGGAGGCGGGGTAACCCCGTATAACCGAAACGACTTATAGTGCGAAGTCTTAGAGGATTCAGACTCGCAGTTCCCCGAATCTCTTTGGTGCCGGTTGCAGTTAAAAGGAAGAGACGCTTGCCTTATTATCTTGGTGTGCCGCGCCACTAACTCAACACCCGAAACCGACTACCACCTAACGGCTGCTTTTAGATGCAGTTTACAACATAAGTACACCGACATACTTATCATGGGTGATTTCAACGTACAATGTTTAGAAACTCCCGCCACGAACGGGGAACAATTCAAAAGCGATCTACAAGATCTAGTAACTACTGTTCCTCTTTAAAACCACATCACTTTGCCCACTGGTTTCAGAACTGGTAACAGTCCATCTGTGCTGGACCTTGTGCTTACCAACGAAGAGCATATGATTGATGTGTTGGTAGTAGACTACCCGTTGAGTCGCAGCTGTCACGCCGTGATAAGTTTCAACATCGTCTGCTATGCAGAATAGCTGAATGAGGACGATGAGACTGTGCGAACCATCACAATTTACGATCAATTAGCCCATCTCCTCAGCGCCAAAGCTTGGTCTTTCCTCGAAGAAGAACCTCCGGAAGTCGCCTGGCTCGAGTTCGTCAACACATTCTGTCAGCTGATTGCAGAGGCTACGGATATAATAGCTTGCAATATGTGTAAATCAGTTTCTTTCGTTTGGAGCAGAACTCGAATATGGATGACAGTACGCAACGCAGCGTGGCGAGTGTACAGAGAAGCTCCAGCACCAGAAACTTGGGACAAATACGTAGCCCAACGTAACTACTGCACTCAACTGTTAAGAGAAGACAAAGCCGCCTATCAGCACAACATCGCAACAACCTACAGTGCTAAGCACAAACTGCTGTACAAGCACGTCAGTAGCTTACGAAATGTGAAGCAAGGATTTTCTCTACTCAGGACGGCTGCTGCCACAAGTAGAAAAGCTGTGGAAGCAGCAAACGCACTGCAGATGCAATACGTTCCACGTTTCAAAGGGTATTGACACCAAGAGATTTACTTAGCTTTGTCTTCTGCTCGTCAAGACTAATCCACATCACTTTTACCGCGGAGGCTGTATTGCAAAAGCTTACCTCTCTATGCAAATACAGCTCGCCAGGTGTCGGCATCATTCGCCCAGAGGCATTGGAAGCAGCAGCAAGCCAACCGGCAGGACCGTTAGCTCAGGTTTTCCAGCGCTGCTTAGAACATAACCAAGTTCCCGCCATGTGAAAGCTTGGAATAATAACCCCGGTTCACATAGGTGGAAGCAGAACTGATCCCTTCAACTACCACCCAGTATCCCTTCTTCCTATACTCTCCAAGCACATGTAATCCATAGTCACCGATGCACTGGTGTGCTATCTGGAAAACTGCAAAATCATCACTCCTGAACAGCACGGTTTCCGTCGACAGGGCTCATGTACAACGAAGTTACTAATTGCACGCAGAAGTTAGACTGAGGTAGCTGACGCTGAAGAAAGTGTTGATGTGATCCACCTGGATTTTTCCAAGGCTTTCGATCGTCTAGACCATCGGATACTACTATACAAGCTGCAGCATTACGGTATCGGCGACCTTGTTTTAAGCTGGATGGCCAACTTCTACTTTAACTGCACTCAGTGGTCAGATTTCGGAGCTCATTATCGGACCCCATACAAGTTGAGTTTAGTGTGCCACAAGGATCAGTTCTACGTCCACGTTTATTTTTGGTGTTTATTAATGACCATGCACAGAAAATCGTTTCAAAATTCCTATGTTTGCAGACAATATCCAGATCCGGCACAGGATACAGGCGAACGCCGACCAACATATATTTCAGAGTGACCTAGATAAGGTTTATCAATGGTCGACCTAAAACTTATTGCTTTCAGCATCAGTAAATGCAAGGTGCTTTCCATCCGACATCAGAGCAGCTACTCATACCGACTCGGAACGAATATACTACAACAATCAGCTGTCAAATGTGACTTTGTTGTCCTGGTTCAAGTTGACTTGGGTTGCTTCGGGCAATCTGAAAACGCCTCGAAGACCGGGGACCAACACGTCGGGATGTTGAAGCAGGCCTTTGGACAAATAAACAGCTCCAAAATTCGACAAATGCTCAGTGCGTATGTTCGCCCCAATGTCGAATATGCAATTCAAGTCTGTCATCCATGGCTGAAACACGACCTTAATGCACTGGAGCAGCCACAACGCTGGGCATCTAAGAACGTAATTGGAATACGCAATCTTTCCTACCACCAGAGGCTGCAGCGACTGGGATTGTTCAGTGGAAGCTATCGCAGTCTACGAGGCGACTTGATTATGGCATACTTTATTCTGCGAGACCCACATCATGTGTGCCGCCCCTTACTGCAACTCAGCAGCAATACAAACCTGAGGGGTCGCTCATTAAAACTCGCGGAACAATACAGTTGTCTGAATGCCGCAGAAATTTCGTTTACGTTTATGTCTGTCACCCGTGGAATGCTCTCCCAAAATCGGTCATCTCTGCACCGACACTAGGAGCATTTAAAAGTCGGTTGGATTATGCACTCATTCACACACTTTGTTACTTATCACCGTCTCCATCCCACAATTGTTTTTTACCATGGAATTATTTGTTGTTAACTGTGGGTGCTGTGAATCTAAGAGGATCGCAGGACTACAGCGGAGCAATCGACAATTCCTTATTTTAATATTTAAAGCAATTACTATTTTACTGTCTTTATCATCATTGTTGTTATTTTGTTATCCCCACCAACGATCCAACGGGACTTGTAATGCAACGCTTCTTAACCCGCATAAATTCATTGTTCATTGCTGCTACGTATTTGCAATATTCATAACATTAAAAGTTATTTTTAGAACATGAACCAGCATAATCGACGGTAGTATGTACCGCACATCAAATGGGTCTGTATAAGGTTGGTCAACACTGATTCCGAAATGCCCAGAATGACAGCGTCGAACGAGCTGAGACAATAGTGGAACTGACCGACGAGAGGTTCATTACAGTTCTGTTCTTCCTTATTCGGTGGTAATTCCCATTTGAAACGAGACGATTGCGTTCCCATTCGCAGGAGCAGTAGATCCTGGAAAAAACTAAGCCGAGCTTCAACGAACTCGAGGTCGTTCAGCAGGGCGGAGGGAGTTGCAATGAAAAGTCCAGATTGTTTGACATCTTCGTGAGGTAAGGAGGTAAGGGAAGAGAACCGTTGAGAGAAGGCAGTGAACAGCGCCAACGATCCCCAGGGTCCGGACTCAGTTAAAAAAGGAAGTTCCTTAGATGGGATGCAGGATCCTCTGTTGCTCCAGTAATATCGCCCCCTACCCCGCCCCATAGACGGCATAGCAACTGAAGGCTTAGAGGAACAGTGCAAGTTTGGTTGTGAATCAACAAGGAGGGGACAAATTTCGCTCAACAAAAAATCGGAGATCCCTTCTGTGGCACCCGCGATTAAATTCCGTAGCCATTGAAGTGCTTCTACGTCGTTCAGGCAGGTGGGGCGCTTGAGATAGTCAGAAGTGTCCGAATAACCCTCATCCTTTTCCTCGTATGTCGGAGTCTGGGAAAGACCAAAGTTCAGGGCACTTGTTTTGTGGGAGTCTGTACTCAAAGGAGGTAGTTGAAGAGGGGCACTGCCTTGGATGGCGAGCATCCGTCGGGCTTCCGGTCCAATGTGGCTAAAAGCTCCGAAGAAGTGAGATGCTAGAGAGAAACGGTGGCTGAAGTACAGGAGGTTTGTAAACAGATTTCTGTCATTCAGACTGAAATCGGAAGGCTCGGACTTGTCGATGTAAGGAGGGTTGATAGGCTGCGCGGAAGTTACGAGCCTATTGCATCGGTTTCCGCTTAGAGCAAAGTTGTGCCAATCGCTGCACAAACAATCTGGTCTAAATTTCAAATAAATAAACACAGAGATGACCAACATCTCGAACGTAGTGTAGTAAGGAGCAGTGTTGCTATTTGTGTCACATCCAAGAGAGTTCTGAGAAGATGGGTTTTGTGAGACGAGGGAACTGTTACTTGATTTTGAATCCGAATGGATCCTGGAACACCAATATCTCGGTGGATATTCGAAAGGAGGAGTAGAAAGGTAATGAAGCTCGGATGAAGGGCTAAAACAACTGAGAAAGTGGATGAAATCAACTCACCAATATCGAGTTTGTCCACAGAACGCAACAAAAGTTGGGCATACTTTTCACCTCGATGTTTCCGAATAACAATCAGAACTATGTGCAGAAGCCGCTTGGTAAAGGCATCGGTCACTCGAGGATACGTCCCGTGGAGGAACCTTGAATTATAGTGAGAAACAGAATGCTACTTGTGGGGGCCACGTTGAAACATAAAGAAGGCATCCAAAGATTGCAATCTAGCCCAACGCTTAGTTTGCTCCCAATCCTTACATTTTTGAACCGAACTGTCGATTCGACGACTTAGCAGCTCATCACAGAGCTTAAAAATTGGAACTCCAAAAGAATTGAGGGTTCGCATTCTTCACACACGAAACAAGGCGGTCATAAACTGTATCACCGGTCGACGTGCTGAATACAAAAAGCATTGGGGTCCAGTGTGTAGGTAAGGAGAAGTTACATCTTTCTCCTAACCGAAGACCATGCACTACTATACACGGCAGAGAACCGTGAACTATTATTGTGAGGAACTTCGAAAAATACCATGTAATAAAAACATAAAGGAAGTTATCGACGCAAATTCAGGAAAACAAAACGGAGCGTCAGAAAACTTTGCAACGTCACTGTGTTCAGTATACTTGGATGATGAATGACACAGCTTAGAGTAGAACAATTAAAAAACGCAAGTTAACACTGAGTTTCCCAAAGCATGGATTTTTGAAGAGGAACATAATTAGCATGAATGTCGACATTGACCCAATATACAAAGCACTGGGACAGATAGCTCTTAGGAGGGATGAAAGCCGCCATTCGAAATACCCATCCGCCACCCTGCAAATAAACAGAAATGTCAGCATAAGGCTGGAATACTGACCTATGACCATTGCATCAATAATAGTGCAAAGAACTCAGTCACGTCGTAACAATTGCTGTGTAGCGTATAACAGTTGCTCAAGCACACCATGAATGACCAGTCAGAGTAAAGTCAAATTAATAGCCTCATACGCCCATATTATGAACGTTATGGTTGATGACGTCAATCATCCTCAGGTTTACCTATCACTAGCTACCGCTACGAAACTGCCACCATTTCAGCGCTTACAAACTTACCTCCTAAGTGTGTGTAACTTCTAAATACGCATGCCGGGCACAGCGGACACGCATACAACTAGTCTCAAAAGTATTTTACTATCACTTGACAATGTCGTGCTCAGTAGCTACTCATGGGTGAGGAATAATGCAACTTGAAATTTGCAACTAGTGCCATATATCTACATTATGATTCGGTACCGGTAAGCCAAACTTATCGGAAATCACCGGCAAAACGAACTAGCAGTGTTAGACTACGGATTAAAAGGAAACTAATATCATAGCATCTGTTTCTCTCTCTTGCAAATTTCCCATTATTCCCAGGGTAAATTTTGCGCTCCATGTACCAAAGTCCTCTTTCTTAACTGTAGGTTCTGGTTTAGTCAGAGTACCTAAAAATCGTCCTGACGTAATTCGGTGTCCCTGCTTGCTTGACCATGGCTTAATGCCCATTCATCTATTAGCCATAATGTAAGCTGATTTCCGTCTCGTTATTAGAGGTCGTGATTTGTACTTTTACCTCTTTAATACACGTCTGCCAGGTCTGCGATTTTCTGAAACCACATTTGTCGACGCAAGTATCGTCATGACTTGTTCATTTAAACAGCCATCGCCAACTTGGACGTATTGCGGAAACAGGTCTACATCAGGCTCCTGAATTTGCTATAAACGTTCCTAGCAGAATAATTGAGATTTAAGTACCAACTTAAAGCCTACAATCATTGAGGAAAAATATTTAAAGCCGTTTTGTCAATTGCTACAGAATGAGGGTCATCGGCAATTTGATGGCTAGAACCTCTAAATCTGCACATGAGTTACGGATGAATTCATTACACTTGATCGCATTTAGAGTCCCCAAGTAAGCCTGTTTGCTGCAAGGTACTTGTTTTCCTGAATGCAACAGTGTTCGGTGAATCTCTGAATTATCTTGTTACTATAGTTACTTATTACTTAATTACTTAATTACTTACTGCTAAATTTAACCTGTATTGCGACCTAGAAATGACTGTTCCATTCAGCGGAAACAACCAAAGGCTACAAGATGGCGCAACAATTGTTGGCTGCAGTTAACGCTGACCGCATAAGCGAAATGCTGCTTCAGAAATACGCCAAAATCTTAGCCTACGCTTCAGGTTTGACTAGAATGAAGATAGAGAACACAATGAATTTAAAGTGGTTTCTGCAACTGAACTGACCTATGTTGCAAAAATACAGCCTACTCAATAGTTATCAGGGATTTAACCATCCTTTTGCTGTTGTGCTAGTAGTTCTTACAAGGATAAACATATCTATTATTCAGTCAAGATTCGCAAACAAAAACTGTGGAAATATTTGATATTATGCTAGCTGCTGCCCATTTCAACGCATCGCACTTGTTGAACAGGACTGCGTTCCAAAACATGACGTAATCGATTCAGCTTAGTAACATGCATACTTAGTCAACACCGTTATTATCAAGTTTGGAAGAGTGATAATATCTGATGTTGAACCCAAACCTTTCCCTCCAGATATTTGAAATCTTTTATCCCAAAGCAAAATGGCGTTATTCCACTACAAGTGGAATTGATTTCTGCTTCGCCTCTTAATATCATGCCCTGCAGTTGCTACAAAACTTACGTACCCGAATACCCTTTACAGCCGAGTGCTCATTCATTCTGGAGTTGCAGTAGCAAGAATTTAACCACTCTTAGTTTTCTCATCCTACGTCACCGGATTGGCATGATACCGGCGCATGTCGCGCAATTTGTTTCCTCAGATAACAGACTGTCTCTATTTGGGAGGAACGCGTTAGTTGCGGTAAAAGTATTGCCATCATTTCACTGGTTTGCTGTTTCTTTCACTAGGGTAACACAATACTAAGAACGCCATTTAAAACTATTCCCATTTCTATCAGATATCCATCATCTGGTGCTCATCGCATATAGCAGAAGCAGGTTGCGAATCCTGTTTCAGTTGGTCAAGTACTACCGGTTCTGCCTGCGAGGACTCAAGTCGTCTCAATAACTTTGCAGAACAAGTTAATAGATATTCGAATCAAGCCAACAGGTAGCTCTGATTGGGTGCATCTGACATGGTGTTCTGAAAAACGTCGGCACAGTCGAGTTAGACGATGGTCTACAAGGATAAACAGACAGATAGTCGTCAAGAGATTTGTGGTGCTTCCTTGTGATGAGCTAACAGTTCGTATTTCTGCTGCAACAGCTTTCTCCAAACTGTAGTTTAGCAGCACACTCTTCCAGTTTTTTGTTAATGGCGCTGAACTCAAAACCGCCTTCCAAACCAACCGAGAGATTATTTCAATGCAAAGTTTTACCTAAGTGTTTGAGTTCAGCACATTCTGCCTGGCAAATGTTTGTTGCTCACGCTATTGCAGATGAATAGGTTGCATAGTTAAATAAAACTAATCTCTCCTGCTCAAGTTTGGAGGAGCATGCCGAGGGTTTGCGTAAATTCATTCAACTTCTTCCAGAAATTTCTATACGCTTGAACAAGTAAACGTGTTCAGTTAACGCCACTGTGATTCAACTTTTAGGAAACATCAATTTTATCAGCGGTTTTGCCAGGATGGCGAAGATGTCCGTGTTATAGATGACGCAAAGATACCCAGTAATTAACAAAACTAGTCTTTGTTAAACAGCTGCGCTTGTAAACGGTAATACATTCGTGATGTAGCAAAAGTGGCAGATCGCTACGGAAATTAACAAAAGTGGACCACCGTTTGTCTGGGGAAATGATAAACTGTAAAGATGGATTTCGTTTACCCTATTGGTTTCAATATTTGACGAAGCATATCGTGCTTTTGTATTAACTGACTCTTCCGATGTTGTTATCGGTGCTTTAAATTCACAACTACAATACTGTGAAAAGAAACTTATCACGCATATTCGTCAACATTTATCAGACACCGAAATTCAAAACTTCGCCGGTGAGAATGACGCTGTCACTTTCTCATGGACTTACGAGAAATGATATCTTTTCCTCTTCGACTATTATTTTAGGAATTATTCACTCCGCTCCAACCAACCCCTTCAGGATTAGATGTCATGGATTCTTGTCTAGGCAGATCACTTGTTGGTCCGCCATTCTGCAGGTAGAATTTCTAAATCTTATGCCCAACAGGATGGCAGAAGCAAATCGCGGATGGATAATCCCCCCTTCCGATGACACTAAGGGATAGAAACCAAGCACCCAGAAAGGCGAAACGAGCTTTAGTCTTGGATCCGGTTTTTCTGCTCTCACCATTAATGAACCACAAGACGACAACGCGAGAGAAGCAAAGTTACAGCAGCTCAAGACATATATTCAGGAGCGAGTGTCGAAGAGCAATAAACTTTCCTGCGACTTTTTACCGTACTACACAATCTGAAAGGAATGTTTAGTTGTGTTTGCTTCTCTATTTCGAAGCACAATATTTGTACTCCCCTCGTTGCAGGTTACCAAAAGATTTGCGTGCCTTCATAAGTGTCTTCCACGCATTGTCCAAACCCAAAAATAAAGTCCGACATTACTTTGATTATCATAAATAGCATCAAGTATGGAAGTATTTGTGCGAAAATTTATGCTTGGCAGTTGGCAGATAATAGTCCTCTACCTGTTGAGGTCCTTGAGAAATGGGCCAAAATTAACATTGTGGGTATGGACCTCTTCATTACTGCTCCATAACTAAAACCTATTCTTCGCAACGTTTTTTACAACACGTGTCCTGAGGTCATATATGTGACAAAATGATCTCTCTCCTATTACCGCGATGTTGCAAACATCTGTGTAATCGTTTCGCATACCATAAAAGCTGGTCGCAAATAATCGTTCGCAATTCTGTGGTTACGAGGTCGAAACATGCCTCCGAATTCATATTGCGAAACATTCCCGGAATATACCGTACAGTCATCCTGCAGTAACGGCATGGCACGGCTGCTTAATCGGTCTCTTAAAGAGACAATATATCCTATACAATGAGGAGGATTGGGGTGGGGAAATGCTGTTTTAACGGCGCCGCTGTCATATAAACGCTGAATTTATAGCCACATGGAAAACGTCCGCATAAACTAATGCTCGGAATACTCTTACGCATATAAGATTATGCTGCACACGATAAGGCTCTTCTACAGATTCCGAAGATCTGAACCACACAGCAAAGCACCAAAAACATTACGCTAGATGCTCGATCCAACCTCAGTCAGAATCCTTTGTTAGCATAAAAAGTCGACTTGCTTTAAAGATCCTCTCAAAGGGGTTTGCACCTTCAGAATTACACATGCATTTAGGTCTGGAAAGTACCGATTCGGAAATGACTTAATTGTCGATGCTCGTCGGGTTTACAGAGCAACTGGACCGGCCTATCAGCACAAAGGAGCTACTTATGAAAGTTAGACGGTGCTAGCTCTAACGCAGCGTAAAATACGAAGCTCCAAAT